TATATGGGTGTGTATATATATATATATATATATATATATATATATATATGGGTGTGTACCAACAAATTTGGAAGTTCTTTTCTTATCGGAATGATCAAAGTTAGTTTTCTTCCATGTCTTCGTAATCACCGTTAGACTCATCTAACTCTTTCCGAATCCTCTGCACTGTTCTCAGATTGACACCTAAACACTCTGAAATGTTTGTATTGGAGATTCCAGCATGAATGCCAAGCAGTACAGCATGCCAATTCCTAATTTCTGGCAGAATGAATTGCATCATCATGCTTTTTTTCCTCACAGATGGTGCCTAACTGACCCTACAATATTGTGCAGTCCACAGAATAAAAAAAAAAAATACACATGTGAAATTAAAAGCATAAATAATGACAATTTACCCATCGCACACTGTAAATACAGTAGGGAGTCTTTCAAATGGGCAGTGGTAGCAAAAACTTCAACAATACTAAATATTCTGAGGATTTTAATATGCATTAGAATGTTGTTAACAAAGTTCTAGTAATAGAATATTGCTTAACTTTTTATTATCTGACTTGTACCTTGATATTAATATATTCTCTGTTAAGCAAGTAGAATGCTGCTTAACCTTGCAGGTATTATTCTCAAACACTTAAGCATTCAAAATTTTTCAAAATTCCAAGTTCTGTAAGTAAAAACAAAAATGAACAAAAAAAAAATCTGATTTCAAATCAGAATAAAGATGTCTATTTTGTTGATATCCTATAACCTTTCTAATATGATTTCTTTTTTCTAAAGTTTTATTCTTCTATTCAGTGCTAACCATATTAACATTCATATTTTGTTTGTTTATTCTTTCCTTTTTAAAGTGCATTCTTTGCTTTTTAACCAGAAGGAATATTGCTTAACTTTTGCAAACTTATGAGAGCAGATGTTAATATGCTATGCCCTAAGCTTAAAGTTTCTTTTGAATAGACATCTTCCTTTTCCTTTTCACACGTCCATTTATAATGGTTACGGTTTTTTTTCTTCTTTATATTTGCCAAACTTGGCCTGTATTAGAACTTAAGAGACCTATATTCCTATTATATCTTGATTTCACGTCTAATCTTCGTATTTTCTTTTTAATGTTCAGTTTTGCTGGTGTCATTCGCACCTTGATCTGCACAAGTCAAACTGCATAATCCTTGGAACTGATATTGCTGCTATCTTCTATAAAAGCAAACCTCGTGGGAAAGGCCAGTGACAATTAGTCCTATTGAGAACCACAAGTGAAAACTCTACTGTTAAATGCTTCTGGCATTGGTGACTCCATCTCATTCCGGAACACTCTTATATACCAAATGGTTCAACTGAAATGATTCACTTTCACATTTTTTTCTGCGACTTCTCTCTTTTCTCTCAAACTATAACAAAACACTGTTGACTACTATTTTTTTTAAGGTGTTGCTTTCTTTCCTAATTTTTTTTCTCTCTTGTTTTCGTCTGTGACCCAAACTATACTGAAGCCGACATTCCCTCAACAGAACACAATGCCTCTTGATTATTTCACTCTTTTGTAACTCTTTTTTTTGCTTATACATGTACAAAATAACCATTTATTATATTTAAAGGAACTTATTTCAATAGACAATTTTTAGTATTGATGCTTCTTCATTTTATGTTTATATACAAGAAGACATTCTAAAAATACTTTTAATTGAGATAACACTCTTCCGCAATGAAAATTGTTTTTAATGAAATCATTCTTCTTCAGCTCTCCACAACTTCCTACCTTTTGTTGCTTTAAGCAATTTTCCCCCACCTTTACCATCTACCTTTACCTGTCATCCATTCACTCAAACTCGTTAAATAGGTTACTCATTGTTCACCCCACTCCACTTCTCTTTCTTTTCTCATTGGCACCCCAGAAATTTCAGCTGTCTCCGATTGTTAGTATCAGTTTTCTTGTACTTATTTTCTTTAAAACTTCCTCGTTGCCTACATGTTCTGTCTGTGACATTCTCAGCATTCATCAGCAGCATCTCCTTTACTGCTTCTTATATGTTTGATTCTGACAGGTCTTGTGATTAAATTATATGAATCAGTGAGGCACTAGACAACAAAGACCGTAGCATTAGATATTTCAAAAGCCTTTGACGAAGACTGATGCTCAAGCTCTCTAGCTATGGAATCATTGGAAGAGTTTTCTCAGTAATAAACTGCTTCCTAATAGATAGGTCCTTGAAGGTAGTTGATAACAGCCAGTTCTCTGGTGCCCTCCCAAGGCTCACTTCTCAGGCCAACCCTCTTTTTATTTTATTATTTTATATATGTTCTACCTAAGAGTATATACTCTGGTCATTTGTGAATATTTATGCTGATGATACAATGGTATATGAACACACCTCCAAAATTCTAGATGACCAGAGTTTGGCAGCTGATTTATCCTCTGATCTAGTTTTCATATCTCAACAGAGGAAAAACTGGCTGGTTACATTCAATTCTTTGAAAACCAAATTAGTTACATTCCATCATTGCTGATTAGACTCTAAGCTACCACCAGTAATAATGAATAGATCTTCTCTCAGGGACTGAGTGGCTATTGGGCCTCAAACTCAGCCCGAGCCTCAAGTGGAACTCATACATTTGTTCCGTTGCTAAAATGGTTTGTTGTCATTACCAATCATGCAATTACCTAAATCCTCCTGCTATCCTCTTCTTTTACAAGAGTCAGACAGGGCTAAAATGGAGTACAGATTTCATATTGAGCAGGAGCTGCCCAATCATCACTTTCCAGTCTTGATAGTCCAAAAGTGTCTCTGCATCCTTGTGTGAAACAAATTATTTTCCGCCCTGCAGTCCTTCTCACTGCTCTATCAGTACTTCCATGGAAAGTGCTTGTATGAACTAAATTCCTTACTTCCACCAGTTCTAACCTTCATGGCTAGGACCTGCCATGCTACGTACATTATAGCAAACCACCCCTCATTAGCTCTGTATTCCACTGGTAAAAAGTAAGTTCCACTAGAGCAGCTTCTTTCTGTGAGTCACTGATCTGTGGAACCAATTCCCAAGAAGATTTTTTCCCAATAACTACACTCTTAACATGTTCAAGTCTAGAGTTAACCATGATCTTTCTCACATATCCACATAAACTGTGAATTTTACTCTTTAACTCTCTAACTTGAGCCATTCTCAGGAGTTGTACAAAGTGAAGCTCGCTGTAATATATATATATATATATATATATATATATACACACAGTATTTAAATATTTGTTTTTTATTGGCACTATATACAGAATGGTTTATTTGCTATATGCAGAGTCAAATTATCGTTTCACATAGAATAAGTTGCAGTCTAGGGAACCTCATGCTTTTTGATATGTCCTGGAAAGGGATATATTTGTTTGAAGTAACAAAGTAGTTGTTGACTACTGTAACTGAGTAGGACAATCTAGCAGGCAACCGTAATGGACTGGTCCTCGTCGTAGTGGTAGGCAATAGGCGTAGTCAATAGGCGTCGTCCATGTACCTCCACCTCAGTCTGCATTTATGGCTGACACCAGCCAATCATATTAGTGTCCTCCTCGTAGTGGTAGGCAATAGGTGTAGGCAATAGGCAAAGCCAATAGGCATCGTTCATGTACCTCCACCTCAGTCTGCATTTATGGCTGACACCAGCCAATCATATCAGTGTCCTCATCATCGTGGTAGGCAATAGGTGAAGCCAATAGGCGTTGTCAATGTACCTCCACCTCACTCTGCATTTATGGCTGACACCAGCCAATCATATTAGTGTGCAAGGGAACCCAGGTGTATGCATATTCATTACATCACTTTTATAAAGGAATGATTTTAATATTTCGTATGTTATAACTTCTAAATGGTCTGATAAACTGAAATGATATCAACATGGCAAACTCACATTTATTTGACTTTGCAGGAAGTAAAGCAAGTAAAAGAATGTTTTACTTTGTGCTATTGTCTTTCACATAGATAATGTTTTATTTTAGTTCAGAATGTTTAAATCTTAGAGATTTTTATAAAGCAGTGATTTTAAATATACTGGATGTTACAACATTGAAATAGTTTCATAAACTGAAATGATATCAATATGACAAACTCATTGATTTTGATTGTTTTATTGTTACAATGCTGGTTATAAAAAAATCTGTTTTTTGACTACAGTTGTGTTGAAATTTGTGCTAATTTGATTTGCAGTAAATAGAAAAATATTTACATTTCTTAAAGAATATTTTTATTGATAAACGAAAAAATAGCTATTCAAGTTTCTTTGAACAATTTGCTATAATTTTACTGCAAGCTATGTAAATGTTGCTAAAATATATTACAAATAAAAAAAATATTTCAGACAGGTTATATTATTGCAATATTATTGGCTCTGATCTAGCTCAAGTCACTTTCCCAGCACCATAAGGTTGCTTCTCTATGCTTTTCTATAAATACTTTCATGGGAATTGTTCAAATGAGCTCTTTGCTATGGTACCTAGAGTTTTTGAATTTAAGTGCAGTACTAGACTGACATTGATATCTCATCAATTTAGAGATGAGCAGGCGAGATGTAGTCATAAATTCTATGCTGACTGTTTTTTGTATCATACTTCTCATTTGAGGAACTCCCTTCCAGCTCTGTGCTTTCTAGCCAACTTTAATCTGCAAAAATTTAAATGCAATATCCTCCTCCTGATTACTCTCTTCTCTTTCTGCTTATCATTAATATTTATGTTCCTAATTCTTCCACACTCTGCAAACCCTTGTGTTTTAGTAGCATTACTGCCTTGCATGAGGTGATTCCAATTAAAAAAAAAAAAAAAAGTGCAAGGAAGTTAGTGGTTGGTTCCATCTGATGGTGGTGGGGGTTCAAGAATTTCTTTAGCCTAGGGGCTCCAAAAGGCCATAACCAGACCCTGGCTAAATGTATTTTCTTCTGAGAAGATTGTCAAGAAGATTAAATATTACATAGCTTGTCAGCACTCTTTTCTTTATTTCAAAGAAAATTATCTTGTCTCTTAATACTTATGACCATATAGCATTGAAACACTGGTTCTCATATGATCATCAAAGTTAAGCAATGTAAAGCCTGGTCATTACCTAGATGAGTGACTACTTGGGAATCCCAAGTGCTCTAAGCTTGGATGTGTGGGTGGTGTAATGAATAATGGCTCGGAATTATTAGCTCGATACCAAGGTTTCAATTTTAGTTGGGTTTGTTGTATTTATGCACAAATATCCATGAGAAAGGTATAAATCCACCTCTTCTCCCTCCATCTATGGGTTAAATAGTAAGGCTTGTATCACTAAATCATTATTGTCTCAAAAGGAAATTCTTAGAAGCTAAAAATATTTTCTGGCTTTAAATAACCTGATAAGTCTTGAAACACTGATTCTTGTACATTTATTAAAGTTAAGCAATATAGAGTTTGATCATTACCTAGATGGGTGACCATTTCAGAATACCAGATGCTGTGAGCTTGGATGTGCAGGTGGTTAAATAGATAATGGTTCAGATTTGTTCTTCGGAGAGCTGAGTTTCTTATATTTATGCAGGAATACCTTTGGAAAAGGTATGAATCCACTGCCGCTCTCCCAGCTATGGGTAAATTAAAAAGACTTGTATCATTAAACCATTACTATCTCTAAAAAAAGAGATTTTTTTTCAAACTGAAAAGATTTTCCTCTTCCCTCAGCTATGGGTTAATTAGTAAGTATCGTATATACTAGCTAGAAATATTTTCTGACTTTAAATAACATGATAAGTGTTGAAACAACAGTTCCCGTATGATAACCAAAGTTAAGCAATGTCAAGCCTGGTCAGTTCCTAGATGAGTGACTGCTTAGGAATACCAGGTGCTGTAATTTGGGGAAGGGTAAGATTGGCTCGGAATTGTTATTTGGCTTAACATAACCTGCAAAGTGTTGATAAGCCATAGAAAATGAATCCGTTAATTGGAATTAAATCATTACACAATATTAATTTTGTTTTCTTTTTAAATTTCAGATATGATTATGCTTCAATTGGATGACTTTGAGCCGGAGGAATTTTATTTTGGATCCTAGTATCAGCCATGCTAGTGTTTGTGCTACTGTCAGTCTTACACAGGTGTATATGCGTCGACCTTACCTACTATGTGCAGGAAGGATTAAGCCCAGGAACCTACCTGGGCAACATTGCAGCTGACTCTCACCTGTTAGATGCTGTACGTTCGCAAGATCGAAACCTGATAACGTTCAGTCTTCTACAACAAGGTTCAGTTGGCAGTTCACAATTGTTCAAAGTGTCCAAGAAATCAGGCAAATTTTATACAACTCAGAGACTAGATGCTGAGTCTCTTTGTACTTACAATACAGAATGTTATGAAATGGTGGACATTGCTGTGAGGAGAGCCGAGTCTTTTATGAAGATTCTGGAAATCAAAGTCATCATTCAAGATGTCAATGATCATAAGCCAGAATTTCCAAAAAAACAAGTTAACTTAACATTCCTAGATGGTGACAGGAGGGGGATGATAAAATCCATACCCAATGCCGTCGACAGAGATGTTGGACTTTTGAATTCCCAGGTTGATTACAAACTGATGAAAAAAGTGAGTGAGCCTTTTAGTTTGGCAGTTTCAAAAAGGATAGATGGAACATCAAAGCTTGGCATACAATTAGAGGAAGATCTAGACAGAGAACTGAAAGATCGTTACATGATACATGTGATTGCTAAAGATCGAGGAACTCCTCCAAAGCAAAGTGTTTTGGATGTCCTCATTTCTGTTACTGACGTCAATGATAACCCTCCAATTTTTTCTCAAAATGTATATAACGTAACTGTAAAGAATGAGCCAAGCGATATATTACCAATTGTTATTTTGTCCGTCAAAGATTTAGATTCAAGAAAATATGGTCTTGTTCAATATGAGTTCAGTTCTAAGACCTCTGATAGCGCTAAAAAGCATTTCCACTTAAATACAAAGAGCGGGGAGATTTTCTTAAAAAAGAAGTTTTCTTTTGGGCAAAAACTAACGCACAAATTATATGTAGAAGCCATAGACGGAGGCAGCCCTCCTTTGACATCTATAGCAATGGTTTTAGTGACTGTAGTTAATGAGCAAAATAATCCTCCAAAAATTGATGTGAACTTTGTATCTGCTTCCGAGGGACAAACAGCGACCATATCAGAAGATATCAAGGTTGGCAGTTTTATTGCCTATGTGAAGGTCATTGACGACGATATGGGAAAAAACGGAAAAGTACACTGTGACCTCCAACATGACAAATTTAAACTTTTAAAACTAGATGTGAAAAAATATAAAGTTATTGTAAATAGGCCTGTGGACAGGGAAAAGGATGACCGCCATGAAATTACAATTATCTGTGAAGACAAAGGCAATCCACCCCTCCGTACTGAACGGAACTTTTCTGTACTAGTAGCAGATGTTAACGACGTTTATCCAAGATTTGCTAAGAAAACATTCAAATTTTGGATACCTGAAAACCAGAAAGCTAAATATCTTGTTGGTGTCATAAATGCCACCGATCCAGACCTTGGACCCGGTGGCAAACTGAGCTATTCTTTAGTTGCAAAAGACAAACAGTTCCTTCCATTTCGAATCAGCAAAGATGGTGCCATTTCAACAATTATGTTACTGGATCATGAATTTCAAGATATATATAGATTTAAAGTTTTGGTGGAAGACAATGGCACACCTTCTTTAAATAACACTGTTAACGTTATCATCGAAGTTACAGATGAAAATGATAATGCTCCATATTTTACATTCCCAAGTGTTAACCCTTATAGTCTGGACGTTTTGTACAGTCAGCGTCACTCTGACAATATTACGATATTGAAGGCATCTGACAAAGACAGTCTTGAGAATGCTTTTCTGAAATATGAAATAATTAGAGGAAATGACGAGAAGATATTTAAAATCAATCGTTACACTGGTTTGTTATCTTTTAATCGTGAAGTTAACTCACAAGACGCAGGCTCTCATGAATTAGAATTTATTGTAAAGGATAGTGGCATTCCTGCATTGTTCGCGAGCACTAATGTATCTTTAGTACTAACTGTGAGCAATCTGACCTCTGACCTGTTCAATTCCACACGCACCCAATTAAGTGAAAGGATCCATCAATATTTACTGATTGTTATTGTGTTGGTGGCTGTGACTCTAGCTGTGCCCATTACAGCTGGTCTTTCAATTTGTTGTATTCGATGTAATGATCATCGAAAGACGCCACGAAACAGTGGCGTGAAGCTTGCCAAAAAAGATTCTAATCAAGAAAGACATTTGATTGTCCATCCTCATCTATCACCTGCTTGGCCTGACGGACCAGGTATGAGGTCAGCAGATACAAATAGAGCAAGCAAGTCACAAGCAGTTCGTCAGAAACGAAGCCAATCTCCAGGTGATAAGTATGGCAAAGCAAAGAAAAGTGCAAGTTTAAATATGAAATCCCCAAAAGCTACAGATGTGATATATCAGGTAAGTCATTGTTTTTGAACTTTCTTTTGTATATAACTTTGTATCATGTTGAAAATACGTCAAGTAATTTTTTGGCTCCTACTGAGATATAAAGATATTAATTTCTACTTCTCTCTCTCTGCATATATATATATATATATATATATATATATATATATATATATATATATTACTTAAATGTTTTAAAAGAGGTACAAAATTTAATAACAGCAATTAAAGTGAACAGACATGTTAAAACAACAAAAAGGCTTACATTGCTGTAAAGTGTTAATATAAAAAAGAAAAAAAGAAGTAATGTTCTCTGTATAGAAAAAGGGCTCACTCTGATTTTTACCTTAAAATTTTAGAGTCTATTTATATTGAGTGCCACCAGCCATCCCTCTGTAAGCAGAAAGAGTGGTATAATTAAACTTTGATGTTTATATATTTATTATATAATATCTGGCTTATGGAGTTTTTCATTTTAATTGCTGTGCACATTTCTTGTCCTTGACTGAGCCCTGATGAGAGAGGATTGATAAACTGGTTAAGCAGCATTTTTAAGTTTTTTTCCTTTTGTATTTTGATATTACTAATTTTATGGGAATGCAAACCGTTTTTGTTATTCTTTCCTCTTTGTGTTTTAATATTACTGTTTTAATTACAATTTAATAACCTCCCTCTGCTAGGTGTTGTTGTTATGGTTTCCATAACAGGCAGAATTTTATGGAATGGAGTTTCTAACTCCGAACCCAATTGGTTTGGGGTTCAGAGTCATTGTTCTTCTAGACTGGTTGCCAATAAAAGCTAGACAGCCTAGTCTGTCTTGCTATTAACGCTTGTCTTTTGGGAGAAAAGACAAATTCATAGTGTTCCAAGGATATCCCTTGATTCTGCCATACCATTTATATTGTAGCAAACTACCCACATTCCTTTCGTATTTCATCAGTGAAAAGTAACTTCCACTTGAACAGCTTCTTCTCAGGAACCACTACTCTGTGGAACAGACTCCCAAGAGGATGTTTCCTTGATCACTACAATCTTAAGCTGTTCAAGTCTAGAGATAACCATTATTTTCCCCTCCTACCCATATAAACTACCTCTTAACACTCTCTACCTTGAGTGGCTCCTGAGCCTTGTACAGAATGAAGCTTACTATAAAAAAAAATAAAAATTTATTTACAAACAAATGCAATTGTTTTGGCTGGGTTGGAAACTCAACACACCGACCCCACTTTCTGTGCCAAAAACCTCTATGTTGTGAGTACATCCCCATCAGTTGTACCCCTGACAAAAATGACCACCTTTCTTCAGTGATTTGCATTTTTATTTTATTGACTTTGGATGTGCATATAGCAGTGCAGTTAACAGCAAAGAATTCCAGCCAAATTCAATGTGTTCACTTTCATACAAATACCATTAAGAAGGGTATAAATCCATCTCGTCTCCCTTCAGCTTTGGGTTAAATAACCGAGTTTGATTGTTAACCAGTCTAGGAAAAATAACTCTAAACCAGTTGTGGCTGGGTACTTTAACTCATAAAAAAGCTATTTGTTACAGAAACCACAGCATAAACCAAGCATGGTTAGGTTGTGGCCCTATTCTTCATGAAGGACACTAATGGCAGTTAGGAGGAGGAGGAGGAACTTTGAAAGAATGAAAAACTAAATTC